GAATGACTCAAGAAATGCCTCGCTCAGCTCTTCTATACATAGCATTGCATGCAGGTGTCCATTCGAAAGAGCTTGGCACTGGGGGATGGACTGTGCTCTCTTTTCTCACATGGAACAACATCTGTGGCCACTTGTGCCCCATTGATTTCAATAGCTCTCCTCCAGCAAGGTCTGAGCTATTGGAAATCAGGATATCACAGTCTGGCCCTTGTACTGTGAATATCAAGCGCTAAAAGCAAAGCCATCAGGATAAACCTGTGAGCAACGAACCGCCTGAGGACGATCACAGAAAAATATCTGGCAAATCATCTCAAACCGTGAACAGATCTATTGGAATCCCATGCACAGAATCATAGACTATCAGGGTTGGAAGAGATCTCAGGAGGTCATCTAGTCCAACCCCCTGCTCAAAGCAGGATCAATTCCCAATTTTTGCCCCAGATCCCTAAATGGCCCCTTCAAGGATTGAACTTACAATCCTAGGTTTAGCAGGCCAATGCTCAAACCACTGAGCTGTCCCTGAAAGCTGACCAGAAGGTTCTAAAGAAAGGGTCATTCTAAACTGCAGTGTGCTGGGGCAGCTCTCCCATGGGGTCTTTGTAGCATTTTCATTGGCAGTCTGGAAGAGGAAATAAACAGCAAGGTAACAAAATATGCAGGTGACTCATGGGCGCGATAGCTCAGATACCTCATTCTCCTCTGTGGGGAAGGCTCCCTGGCTAGACTACATCACCCATGATGCACTACAGCCTTCCATTTGTTTGAATGGTTGCAGAGCCTCTTGGGAGTCACATGACTGTAGTGCATCAAGGGAGATAAAGTCTAGCCAGGGATCCTGGCTCACGTAAGTGAATGGGGGCAAGAAGCATTCTGTTCTGTGCTAGTCTACGGAGGTACTACAACTCCCATGAGGCACTGGGGCAGTTCAGAGGCCATGGGTTAATGTTGATCATAGCCAAAATGAAATTTTTCAACATTTCGAGCCCCTGGGGCAAGGCAGCCAATGGGGTTAGGGAAGGGAAGAACAGAACAATACCGAGCATCTCTGAAGCCATGTATGTGATTCCAACCACAGCTCTCCATGTGGGGTTCTGCCTGCTGGAAGCAAAGTGCGGAGAGCAGGAAGCACTGGGGGCTGCTGGAAGGGAATTTCTTCTACTTGTGTTTGGAGCAGGTGGGGTATTCTAGTGACCCACATTCAGAAGCTGCTCCAAGCACTGGCTGGCGCAATGGCTGTGATGGAGGCATCTGCTGTCAGTCTCACCAGCCTGGCTCATGCCTTGCCCCAGGGGCTCGAAATGTTGAAAAATTTCATTTTGGCTATGATCGACATTAACCCATGGCCTCTGAACTGCCCCAGTGCCTCATGGGAGTTGTAGTACCTCCGTAGACTAGCACAGAACAGAATGCTTCTTGCCCCCATTCACTTACGTGAGCCAGGATCCCTTCTCTCTGCCTTTCCAGATCCCTTCCATTTGTTTGAATGGTTGCAGAGCCTCTCGGGAGTCACATGACTGTAGTGCATCAAGGGAGATAAAGTCTAGCCAGGGATCTGCCTTTCCAGATCCCTTCACAGGTGTTTGGGACAGTTTGTATACCTCACTGTGTACCTTGGCTGGACTAGCTCCTGTGGCAAATTGCTCATGTGTGGCCCTCATATGTGGAAGCATGGGTGAGCTTAGCTCTGTCCCAGCTCTTCTGATCCCCCTCTGCTTCCTTCCTTTCCCATCCTTTCTGAATTCCAGTTTAGCCCCAGTGGGAGACTAGGGCATGTTAGTTCCACCGTGCAACATGGCCAAATCGGCTGGCTACTGGCTGCCTTGCTAGCTGCAGTGTCCAGTGAATCAACACAGAGCAGCTAGTATATTTCACCCCCTGGTGGATACAATACCCAGTATGAGCGATGGCTGAAACTTTTGGGACCATAAGTTGCCACCTGCACCCCTTGGCTCCAGAATCTCTGTCTCATCTGTGACTGATTGAATGCACTGACACTCGCTAGTGACCTTGGGGGAGATTAGCCCTACAGTGCACATGCCAATTGCACACAAGATATCCCTTCATAGCGGGTCCTTGTCCTGGGTTCTCTTGTTGCTGTGTAGAATGTACAGGTCTGTAGATGTGTCTCTACCTACCACATGGCCACTCAGCACATTGGATAAAGCTGGCTATTCAAGCTGGAAAGACAGATAAAAATAGAGAGGATCCCTGGAGATTTGCTAAGATTTTTCTCTTCTTATCTAACCCATTGGGGGTTGCAGAGTGCTTTCTGGGAGCCCAGCCAAGTCAAGATTCAGAGTCAGTTCTACTGGGTGAAAACTATTTGGAATCCAGATTTTGCACTGGAGTGAACTTTGTCCTAAAAGCTCTTCAGAGTAAGTGGAGCCAGAAATATTTGAGATAAACAGAATTCCGGGAGTCCAGGTTTCTGCTGATCTAATTATAACAAAGGGTATTTGTCAGGGATTTCAGTGGGGTTGGTAGCTCAGGGACAGGACTGGGGCAATGAGAAGCATTCGGAGATTTTGGATAGAGCTGGGTGGGAAATGGCTTTTCCGTCCTGCAAGAACTTGTGAGCTTTTGGAAGTGTTTCTGTTCTGAGCTGGAACAAAAAGCAGAATCTCGACAAATTTTGCACACGGATCATCCCAAAAAGAATCCAGACGAGGTAAATGAAATGGGTTATTTCGCTCATTTCGAATGTTCCCATTTTTTTACCCGTTTTCACCATTTTTTTAGTATCAGTGAACTAAAATTGCAAGCAGACAATTCCCTTGTTTTGAACTGGGAAACCGAGGGTTTAACTCGAAATTCTCAACCCAGAACATTTTGACACTTCCAAACCTTTGTTTGTTTTAAAAAAAAAAAAATTCGAAGTGGGAGATTCAGCCAAACCGGCCCTTTCTCACCAACACTTTTGCTTTTGTCAAATCAGCATTTTCCCAATGAAAAGAAGAAAATTCCCAGGCGTTTTGAGACTTGGGAAATGCTCGAGAAACACAGCTCATCAAACGTGGCAACTCCTTTGTCTCCCTATGATCAGCGCATCCCCGGGGTGTGACATGGCTCTCCCCCTGCACCACCATTGCTGGGGACAAGTTCTCTGATGCAAGCCACACCAGGAATTGTGCAGCTTCCTTCCTTTGATTCTGCAGCTTCTGGCTTTTTGCTTATTACTTGTAAAATCTCACCTGAAGCAGATGTGGCCACTTTGATTTGAACTGAAAAAGTCTGATCTTGTAGCTGCCGGGGGGCAACAGAGGGGGTCTTTGACTGAGCAGGTCAATACACAGAAAAAGAACATGGCAAACAGCATGGCCATTTCATGGTGGTTTTCGTTTTGCAGCGTTCCCAGCAGTTAGTGGGTTTCCACATTTTTTGCGACAAATTTTTATTGCCATTTTTATCCAAAAAATAAAAATAAAAACCAATTCATTCGTAGACATCAATATCCACTTCCATCATGTTGTCGATTAAAAACAAAAGTGAATAAAAATATCCTGAGAAAATTCACCAAGAACTTTTTATTTAAGATGACAATTTTTGGTGAAAATATGCATTTAAAAAATTGTCAGTTTTGGACTAACAAACTCCTGTTTCGAAAAGTTTCAACCACCCCCACAGTGGCAGCAGCCCAGTGGTTCTCAACCAGGGTTACGTGTACCCCTGGGGGTACACAGAGGTCTTCCAGAGAGTACATCAACTCATCTAAATTTTTGCCTAGTTTTACAACAGGCTACATGAAAAGCACTAGCAAAGTCAGTACAAATTAAAATTTCATACAGACAATGACTTGTTTATACTGGTCTACATACTATCCACTGACATGTAAGTGCAATATTTATATTCCAATCAATTTTACAATTGCAAGCTAAAAATGAGAAAGTCAGCAATATTTCAGTAATAGGGTGCTGTGACACTTTTCAGAGGGCTAGCCGTGTTAGTCTGTATCAGCAAAAAACAACGAGGAGTCCTTGTGGCACCTTAGAGACTAACACATTTATTTGGGCATAAGCTTTTGTGGGCCTAAACCCACTTCATCAGGTGCATGGCATGGAAAATACAGTAGCAGGTATATATACAGTACATAAAAAGATGGGAGTTGCCTTACCAAGTGGGGGGTCAGTCTAACGAGACAATTCAATTAACAGTAGAATACCAAGGGAGGAAAAATCACTTTTATAGTGGTAATGAGGGTGGCCCATTTCAAACAGTTGACAAGAAGGTGTGAGTAACCGTATGGGGAAATTAGTTTTTGCAATGACCCATCCACTCCCAGTCTTTATTCAGGCCTAATTTGATGGTGTCCAGTGTGCAAATTAATTTAAAAAATGAATTAACTTTTGTATTTTTATGTCTCATTTTGTAAGCAAGTAGTTTTGAAGTGAGGTGAAACTTGGGGGTACACCATACAGATCAGACTCCTGAAAGGGGTAAAGTAGTATGGAAAGGTGGAGAACCACTGGTGCAGCCCACTCACCCAGAACCACTCCCCGAGCCCTGCCTTGGGGAGACAAGGCCCCACGGCACACCCCACCAGGGCTCCTTGCCGCCCACCTGCCGTGCCCAGGCACAGAATTGGGGTATGTCTAGATTACAAGTGCTACAGCCACTACTATAGCGTAGCCACCTGCTACCGAAACAGAAGGGGTTTGGCATCGCTGTAGTTAGTCCACCCCCTTAAGAGACAGTAGCAAGGTCAAGGGAGGAGTTCTTCCATTGACCGCAAGTGTCTACCTCAGGGCTTAGGTTGGCTTTAACTACGTCTCTCAGAATTGCACTAACCCAGCCCTGCCCAGCCTGTGCTGTAACCATCCCTGTCCCTGCCCGAGATGAGGCCTCTATTGCTCCCTGGAAACTTTTGAGCTCCAACGTGTGAAGCCTTTTGTTGCTGGTGCATTAGCCACTCCCAGCATTCGGAGTGTCTCCTGTTTGTGAATCTGTCCCCGGTGCTTGCTGGAGCCCTGGGCTGAGTCTGTCTCCATCCCTGCTCTCCGCAGAAGCCGCTGTCCAGAGGCAGCACGTCATCCCTATGCAGTACCGTGGATTACAAGGCACCAGAGGTAGAGGCAGAGGAGGCTGCAGATGAGGCTGCCGAGGGCCAGGGGCCCGAGGAGTGCTTCACCGAGGGTAAGGGAGCCGCGCAGTGACCCTGCACCGGGGGAGCAGGTGGGTGGAGGGTTGCCCCGTCCTGGTACTGTCCCAGAGCACCAGCTGTCCCTGCAAAACACAGCACAACTGCCCCGAAACTAACAGAGAATGGGCCAAGGGTAGAGAACGGGCCCTGCAGTGATAGACTCCAGGAACTCAATCTAGTTAGATTAACAAAGGGACAGTTAAGGGGTGACTTGATCACTGTTTATAAGCACCTACCTGGGGAACAAATATTTAATCATGGGCTCTTCAGTGTAGTAGAGAAAGGTCTAACATGGTTAGATCTCACCACAAACTCACAGAGCCCCCATGGGATCTCAATGCCCTGCGATCCCAACACCCATGGGATCCCACCCACAAACTCACAGCCCCCATAGATCCCATCCCCCTGGGATCCCACCCCAAACTCACACAGCCCCCATGTGATCCCATCCCCCCCTGGAATCCCACCCCAGACTCACACAGCCCCCATGGAATCCCAACAGCCCTGGATCCCAACACCCATGGGATTCCACCCACAAACTCACAGCCCCCATAGATCCCAACCCCCATGGGATCCCATCCCAAACTCACACAGCCCCCCCCCCCGCAGGGATCCCATTCCCCCCTGAAATCCCACCCCAAACTCACACAGCCCCCATGGAATCCCAACCCCTCTGATTCCCAACACCCATGGGATCCCTTCCCAAATTCACACAGCACCCCCAGGGATCCCAACTCCCCTGGGATTCCCCCCCACAAGGAATCCCACCCCAAACTCATGCAGCTCCACACCAGATCCCACCCCAAAACTCACATGGCAACTCAGAAGAACAATGCTTCTTTTCCCAGGCTATGACAGGCCCCTGGTCCAAAGGGTGCCAGCCCCCTCCATTGATAGTTTTCCCAGGGGTGGAGGGTGCAGCATGGCCAGTGCTAGCCAGGGCTGGTGGTGGGAGGCAGGGGCCCTGCAGCAGGTCAGGAATTGTACATGGACCAGGACAACGGAAAAGGTGAAGGAAAAGCCTGGAGGGGGAAAGGCAAAGGGGAAGTGGGGGGAGGCGCTGTTGTGGGGAGAGAGAAAGAAAGAGGGAAGAAAAAGGAGGGGCTGGTGTTAAGGAAAGGAAAGAAGAGGCATGAGAGGAAGTGGAGTGAGGAGAGAACAGGTGTTAGGGAGGGGCAGGGGGCACGTAGAGGCGGGGTCAGAGGGGCCGGTGTAGGAGAGGGGTGGAGGGCGGGGGCTGGTGCAGGGGAGGGATCAAAGGAGCAGCCACGGGGGCGGTATAAGGGAGCAGCAGGGGGCTGGTGGGGTGTATGGTTTTGGGCCATGTGCCCCAGAGGAGGCGCTTCCCCAGGTGAGGGCAGGTGGCAATGCCACGGCATCCTGACACAGGTGAGCAACTTTACACCCTAGCCTGGTCCATCCCAGAGGGCAGGCTCCTGGCAGATGAGTCGAATTTGCCTGTCTCCAGGCCGGATCGCCTCTGCCCATCCAGGCCCAGCTTGCTCTGGTCTGGCAGAGCAGCACCTGGCTGGCTTGCTACACCGGGAGACGACTCTGCCACCTGCAGCTCCCCAGAGGGGCCGCTGGCCCTGTGTCTGCCATGCCATGGCTCAAGAACTAACCGTGCCTCTCTGCATCCCTTCCCAGCCTGCGTGCGGCGCTTTCCTTTCCTCTACGTCGACATCACAACCGACAAGGGGAAGATCTGGTGGAACCTTCGGAAAACCTGTTTCAAGATCGTCGAGCACAACTGGTTTGAGACCTTTATCATCTTCATGATCCTCCTCAGCAGTGGAGCGCTGGTGAGTCACAGGTTTCGGTCCCTCACCGAAGCCCCCATGTACCCTGCACCGAGCCCCCTGGGTTGTGGGACCCCGGAATGGCAGGCTGCATGCAGGCTTGTGGCAGTGCCAGATACTCCCTAAAAGGAGGTGAATTGGATTTGAAGCGAAAGGATCAGCATTCTGCGCTTTGGGCACCTGGCCAGGTAGGGGAGGCTGTGGGGGGCTGTGGGCTAAGCACCACAAGTGGGGATGTTTTGCTCTGATCAGCGGCAAAATAGTTAATGTTGAACAGTAAAATGCCATCAGTAGATTTCAGGCTAGTAAGCCTGACTTCAGTACCAGGCAAACTGGTTGAAACTATAGTGAAGGACAAAATGATCAGACACATAGATGAAGAGGATCTGTTGGGGAAGAGTCAACATGTTTTTTTTAAAGGGAAGTCATGCCTCACCAATCTGCCAGAATTCTTTCAGGGGGTCAACAAGCATGTGGACAAGGGGGATCCAGTGGATATGGTGTACTTAGATTTTCAGAAAGTCTTTGACAAGGTCCCTCACCAAAGGCTCTTAAGCAAAGTAAGCTGTCATGTGATAAGAGGGAAGGTCCTCTCATGGATTGGTAACTGGTTAAAAGGTAGGGAACAAAGGATAGGAATAAATTGTCAGTTTTCAGAATGGAGAGAGGTAAATAGTGGTGTCCCCCAGGGGTCTGTACTGGGCCCAGTCCTATACAATATATTCATAAACAATCTGGAAAAAGGGATAAACAGGGAGGTGGCAAAATTTGCAGATGATACAAAATTATTCAAGATAGTTAAGTCCTAAGCAAACTGTGAAGAGCTGCAAAAGGATCTCTCAAAACTGGGTGACTGGGCAACAAAATAGCAGATGAAATTCATTGTTGATAAATGCAAAGTAATGTGCATTGGAAAACATAATCCCAACTATACATATAAAATGATGGGGTCTAAATTAATTGTTACCACTCAAGAGAGAGATCTTAAGAGTCATTGTGGAGAGTTCTCTGAAAACATCCACTCAATGCACAGCAGCAGTCAAAAAAGCAAACAGAACGTTAGGAATAATTAAGAAAGGAATAGATAATAAGACAGAAAATATCATATTGCTTCTATATAAATTCATGGTACACCCACATCTTGGATACTGTGTGCAGACGTGATCGCCCCATCTCCAAAAATTGGAATTGGAAAAGGTTCAGAAAAGGGCAACAAAAATGATTAGGGGTATGGAACGGCTGTCATATGAGAAGAGATTAATAAGCCTGGGACTTTTCAGCTTGGAAAAGAGATGACTAAGGGGGGATATGATTGAGGTCTATAAAATCATGACGGTGTGGAGAAAGTAAATAAGGAAGTGTTAATTACTCCTTCTCATAACACAAGAACTAGGAGTCACCAAATGAAATTAATAGGTAGCAGGTTTAAAACAAACAAAAGGAACTATTTTTTCACACAATACACAGTTAACTTGTGGAACTCCTTGACAGAGGATGTTGTGAAGGCCAAGACTATAACAGGGTTGAAAAAAGAACTAGATAAGTTCATAGAGGACAGGTCCATCAATGGCTATTAGCCAGGATGGGCAGGGATGGTATCCCTATCCTCTGTTTGCCAGAAGCTGGGAATGAGCGACAGAGAATGGATCACTTGATGATTACCTGTTCTGTTCATTCCCTCTGAGGCATCTGGCATTGGCTACTGGGCTATATCTTTTGGTCTGATACTGGGCTAGTATCTTTTGGTCTGACCCAGTATGGCTGTTCTTATGTTCAGTGTTAATGATCCATTTAGATGAATAAATGAGATTGTTCACAACTCCCGCACACTCCGGCAAACTTCATTTCATTTGTTCCCATTTGGAAGGGATTTTTGTAACCCGCAAAGGTTTGCAACCTAGATTATAAAAGCCTCGAATGGCCCCAAAATTGGCTGTTCCTAGGGACTCCCAAAGCTCCAGGAGACACCCATCCTCTCCACTGCCCCAGGGCCCTGCTCTTTGAAAGTTGGTGTCAGAACCAAACACAGCTTTTGCAGATCCATCCCCCTAGAATGTCCTAAATGACTGTGGGTCTGCTCGGGTGGCTGAGCTGCAGGGCGTATAGTCCATTCCCCCTTTGGCAAATACCACCCACTCTTCAGCATTGCCGGAGAACTTTTTTGTAATGGTGGCTTGATTTTAAGGAGATGGTTTTATCACTTTTCATCAGCTCTGTGGCCCTGGCTGTCAGGGGACACTCATTAGACAAGATTATTGTATTGATTGGTTTAGCGTTAGCAGCTGGTTATTGCTTTGCTATCCTAGTGCCTGAGTGATGATCTGAAGTTGGTCAGTCAGTAAGTAATGGTTCAGCTTGTTTTTGGTTCCCCTTTAAGTATTTGGACTAAATACATCTGGGCTGCAAAAGTAAGTCCTTGTTTGCATTCCTGAGACCTTCCTCTCTGCAACTCTGGGGGTAACATTTTCATATGTGTCTAAGTGACTTAGGGGCCTGAGTCCAATTTTCAGAAGTGATTTAGGCACTTAGGAGTGGCACTGTCAATGGACATAGGCTCCAAGGGGTCAGAATTTCAGAGGTATTTAGGTGCCTAAAGATGCAAATAGGCACTCGGTGGGATTTTCAAATGCCCTCTGCGCCTATCTCCCATTGATTTCATTGGCACCTTTGGGTGCCCAACTACCTTTCAAAATCTGGCCCAAAACCACCAGAACCCTTTAAATGCAGCAAAAGGAGAAAGGCCTTAGTCCGGCTGCTGCTCTCCTGTCCCACTGTAGCCGTGAATCCCTCTGCTGGGAGCCTGTCTCACGGAAGCCCGACTCATCTAGCTCTGCGCCTCTCCTAGGCTTTTGAAGACATCTACATTGAGCAGCGGAAGGTGATCCGCATCATCCTGGAGTACGCTGACAAGATCTTCTCCTACGTGTTTGTCCTCGAGATGGTACTCAAGTGGGTGGCCTATGGTTTCAAGGTGTACTTCACCAACGCCTGGTGCTGGCTCGATTTTCTCATTGTGGATGTAAGTTGCTGCTCGAGCAATGGAGCAGGAAAGAGCATCTCTGTGATTTGGAGTGGGGAGCAGGGCCTGGGGGGAAGAGGCGGAGAAGGGGGCAGGGCCTGGGGGAAGAGGCGGTGTGGGGGGCAGGGCCTGGGGGAAGAGGCAGAGAGGGGGCAGGGCCTGGGGGAAGAGGCGGTGTGGGGGGCAGGGCCTGGGGGAAGAGACAGAGAGGGGGCAGGGCCTGGGGGGAAGACGCAGAGAGGGGGCACGGCCTGGGGGAAGAGGCGGTGTGGGGGGCAGGGCCTGGGGGCAGAAGCGGAGAGGGGGCAGGGCCTGGGGGGAAGATGCAGAGAGGGGGCAGGGCCTGGGGGAAGAGGCGGAGTGGGGGGAGGGCCTGGGGGCGAGGTGGGGGGGGGGAGGGCCTGGGGGAAGAGGCGGAGCAGGGGGCAGGGCCTGGGGGAAGAGGCGGAGCAGGGGCAGGGCCTGGGGGGAAGAGGCAGAGAGGGGGCAGGGCCTGGGGGCAGAGGCGGAGAGGGGGCAGGGCCTGGGGGGAAGACACAGAGAGGGGGCAGGGCCTGGGGGAAGAGGCGGAGTGGGGGCAGGGCCTGGGGGGAAGAGGCAGAGAGGGGGCAGGGCCTGGGGGAAGAGGCGGAGTGGGGGGCAGGGCCTGGGGGCAGAGGCGGCGTGGGGGCAGGGCCTCAGGGGAAAAGGTGGAGTGGGGGGGGGGCCCAGGGCGGAGCGGGAGGCAGGGCCTGGGGGAAGAGGCGGAGTGGGGGGCAGGGCCTGGGGGCAGAGGCGGAGAGGGGGCAGGGCCTGGGGGGAAGACGCAGAGAGGGGGCAGGGCCTGGGGGAGGGGCGAGAGGGGGCAGGGCCTGGGGGAAGAGGCGGAGTGGGGGGCAGGGCCTGGGGGCAGAGGCGGAGAGGGGGCAGGGCCTGGGGGAAGAGGCGGAGTGGGGGCAGGGCCTGGGGGAAGAGGCGGAGTGGGGGGCAGGGCCTGGGGGGCAGAGGCGGCGTGGGGGCAGGGCCTCAGGGGAAAAGGTGGAGTGGGGGGGCCCCAGGGCGGAGCGGGAGGCAGGGCCTGGGGGAAGAGGCGGAGTGGGGGGCAGGGCCTGGGGGCAGAGGCGGAGAGGGGGCAGGGCCTGGGGGGAAGACGCAGAGAGGGGGCAGGGCCTGGGAGAAGAGACGGAGTGGGGGCAGGGCCTGGGGGAAGAGGCGGAGTGGGGGCAGGGCCTGGGGGCAGAGGCGGAGAGGGGGCAGGGCCTGGGGGAAGAGGCGGAGTGGGGGCAGGGCCTGGGGGCAGAAGCGGAGAGGGGGCAGGGCCTGGGGGAAGAGGCAGAGAGGGGGCAGGGCCTGGGGGAAGAGGCGGAGTGGGGGGCAGGGCCTGGGGGGAAGAAGCAGAGTGGGGGGCAGGGCCTGGGGGGAAGAAGCAGAGTGGGGGCAGGGCCTGGGGGGCAGAGGCGGCGTGGGGGCAGGGCCTGGGGGAAGAGGCAGAGTGGGGGGCAGGGCCTGGGGGAAGAGGCGGAGAGGGGGCAGGGCCTGGGGGAAGAGGCGGAGTGGGGGGCAGGGCCTGGGGGGCAGAGGCGGCGTGGGGGCAGGGTCTCAGGGGAAAAGGTGGAGTGGGGGGACCCCAGGGCGGAGCGGGAGGCAGGGCCACTGTCCAGGCGCCAGTGGCCTTCCCCACTTCTAGGGAGCTTCCAGCGCTTGCACCTAACACAAGCGTCACGCACCGCCTATGGTGCCCAGTCTGTGTAGGTCGCCCCCAAGAGACTGGCCCACAGTCACTCATGGCATGTGCGGAGAAGCAGGGTCCCCTGAACCCCAGGCTCACCCCGTAACCAGCGGGCTGAGCCTCTGAGCGCCAACCCTCCGGGTGGGAAATGTCCATCGAGGATGGGGAATGAGGTGCGGGCCCTGCAGGGGAAGGCAGTACGTTGCCATAGGTGCCGACTCCATGGGTGCTCCGGGGCTGGAACACCCATGGAAAAATGTAGTGGGTGCTCAGCACCCTCTGGCAGCCCCATGGATCAGTGCCTTTCCCCCTGCCAGCACCTCCCGCCTGCCCCTGCTCCTTCCCTGCCCATCAGCTCCTCCCCATCCTTGCCAGCACCTGCACCCCCCACAACCAGCGTGCAGGAGGTGCTGAGGGGGCAGGGAAGGAGCAGGGGCAGGAAGAGGCAGGGGAGGGGGCAGGAAGACGTGGGGTGGGAGATTGGGGGGAGGGGTGGAGTGGGGCAGGGCCTGGGGCAGAGCAGGGGTGGGAAGAGGCGGGGTGGAGGTTTGGGGGGAGGGGTGGAGCGGGGGCAGGGCCTGGGGCAGTGCAGGGGTCGAGCATCCCCCTGGGAACGGAGGACATCAGCGCCAATGCAAGTTGCCATCTCCTCTGGAGCTGCCTCAGGTCCATCAGCGCCCCTGCTAATGGCTCTGGGTTTCTTCCAAGGTTTCCATTATCAGCTTGACAGCAAACTGGCTGGGCTATTCTGAACTGGGCGCCATCAAATCGCTGAGGACTCTGAGGGCTTTGCGACCACTGCGGGCTCTGTCAAGATTCGAAGGCATGAGGGTAGGTCCTTTGCCAGGCCTCCTGACTGGGTGTGACCCCGGGTTGTTGGCACCTGGTAGACCCAGAGCCGCTAGGTATTTCTTGGTGTGAGGGCCTAGAGAACCAATGTGTTGGCCACAGAGCCAGCTATGCCCTGGCGCTTCTCGAAAGGGCTTTTCAGAGGAAATGGCTGCCTGCATTGCCAAAACCCAGCCTTTGGATATTGGAGATAGACCTACAATCATGAGATTCTAAAACTAGTAACTTTGGCAAGTTCCTTTGCTGTTCTTTTGGGGTCACATGTTGAAGCTTTTCTCTGCAATCGCAAGGGCTAGACATGTTGCTTCTTTACTGAAAGCTGAGAACTCTCATGAAATCACCAGCTTCCAGGAGCTGGAACTTTAATAAGATCCTCAACTACCCTGAGACTCGCCATGAGTGGGCAACACTGGATCGCTCCCCTACAGACCCAGCGATGGGGAGCGTGGAGTGCTCACAGAGGGCAGGGGACAGGACTTCCTGCCAGGCTGGTGGCTCCCTGCACAGAGCTGAGGGAAGGGCAGGATGGGCACAGAGGGGCCAGGCCCCCAAATTGTATTCAGAAGACTCGGATTCGCTCTCCAGCTGGCGTTGGTGGTGCATGGGGTAACGCAGCCCGCTTGGGGAGATGTTCTCCTCTGGGCCTCACTCTTTGAAGCCCAGTTGCTCCAACTTTAATGCCCTCCAAGTGCAGCTCTGGATTGCACCACACCTGGCATGTGCCTGGCCCCCTGCCTGCTCCTCTCTCCTCCACGGTGCCAGCCTAGAGCTTCGAAATGGAAGAGGAGGGCGCGGGCCCAGGAGGCCATGCTGCTAACCTGTTCAACCGCCCATGCTGCCATGGCTTTCCTGCTCTTGGCACTCAGTTATCTAGCTACATCAGAGCCAGTGCGGGTATGTCTGCACATGCTGCAATCACATCGCTGACCGCAGTGTAGACAGTCCCGTTCCAGCTAGACAAGGTCCCATCTCTCCCGGGCGGCGCATCCCGTGTTCTCTTCGACTTTGTGGAGTGGGGAGGCTCAGATCTGGCCGTGGTGGGCTGTACCTCACACAGGAACTCCAGGTAACTGCACCTGCAGCATAGTAACTGTCCAGGTGGCTTTGAGGAGTCGCAGCTGCTCCCAGGTGAGGGGTACCTGTAATTCCGTCCAAGCGGCAGAGCTAACACCCAGCCACAGAACTGTCCTGCGCGAAGTCCCGAGCCGCTTCCCCTAGGCCAGCCCTGCCCTCTCTCCCCTCCCGTTGCAGGTGGTGGTGAACGCCCTGCTGGGTGCCATCCCTTCCATTATGAACGTCCTGCTGGTCTGCTTGATCTTCTGGCTGATATTCAGCATCATGGGGGTGAACCTGTTTGCGGGGAAGTACTACCGGTGCATCAACACCACCACGGACGAGCTCTTTGACATCAGCGAGGTGAACAACAAAAGCGACTGCCTGGCGCTGCTCCACACCAACCAGGTGCGCTGGGTCAACGTCAAGGTCAACTTCGACAACGTGGGCTTGGGCTACCTGTCCCTGCTGCAGGTGGTAAGTACTCCGCCGTGCAGCAGCTCTTGGCCTGAGGTAACCCCAGGCTGGCACAGCTCCCCAGCCGGAACAGCTGTCAGATGCCGAGCGAGAGGCTCCCCTGCAGCTCCTAACCTCCAGGCTGCCGGGCTTTATTTTATCATTATGTACCTGACAGTAGCACCTAGAGTCTTGACCAAGATCAGGGCCCCGCTGTGCTAGTGCAGAGTGAGTGACTGTCCCTGCCCCAAAGAGCTTACAGGAAAAATAGATAGGACCAAATGATTAGCCACATTTTACAGAAGGGGTGGGGGAAACTGAGGCACAGAAAGGGGAAGGGACTTGCCCAAGGTCACCTCCTACAGGTCAGATTGGCACCCAGTGCTCAGCTCATCAAAGGCATGTAGGTGCCTAATTCCCTTTGGAATCAATGGCAATTAAGTGCCTAAATACCTTCGAGGATCAAGGCCTAGGTCTCCTGCCTGCCAAGCCAGCTGCCAGTCCACTGGATCATGATGCCTCTTAATTCCAAAATCTAGATTTCACACACACACACACAAAAGCTTGGAACAGGTGAGACGTCATGGGGCCATGAGCAGAAATTAGCTTTCACTGGAGAGGAGGTAAAGGAATGCTTGGAAAATGTGAACCTATTCCAGTCAACCTGTGCAGATGATACTGCGCCCTAAGGAGTTATGCTCACTAATTAGCTAGGCCATTGACAATCCTTTCTAGAATGGCGTGTAGAACTGGGGGAGCTACCAGAGAATGTGGGGCATGGTGGGCAGGACAGGGATTTAACACACCATTCTTTATTAAAGGAAGTAGGATGATTGCAGCCATTACTATTAAGGGAGCAAAAGACCAATCCCTAGTCAAGTGATGGAACAAACGCTCAGAGCAAAAGGTACGAGACAGCTGTCCTAGAGTCCTAGGCGTCCGAGATGGACAAGAGCTGGTAGATCTTGCAGTTCATCTCCAGTCTGTTCTTCCCTTGAGAACACTTCTAATGCTTTGTCCAATCTAGTTCCTCTTGGGCCTTACGGAGACGATTCTGCAGCCTAACTGATCTCCCTGCCACGGAGATTCCTGCCTGCTCCCCCTCTCAACGCTGCAGTTTCCTCTGCCTTGTTTTTAAATAAAGTCTGATTGCTTGGTGACTGGGCCTAGGGAACTCCCCCTGCATCCAGGGGAACTGAGTGGGCACAATCACATCACAGTGCCGCCCTAGCTGATCACCCATCTGGTGCTCAGCTTCCCCTGCTGTAGTGTCATGCCATCTAATGCAGGAAACGAGACATGCACCCTCTTTTGTTCAGTCACAAACACCACGCCCCTCCAGCTCCTGGTGAAGTGAATGGTCCAACCCTCCCCCCGAATTTCCAGAGACTCAGGAGCAGGTGCTACAGGTTAACACCTAGGCAGTGATCAGTCAGCTGTGTGCTGTACAAATGCAGCCTGGAAGCTAACTGGGAAGCCGAGGGGTCAGCTAGACTTCTGTTTAGCAAAGCTGGAGTTTGAGACAGCTCCTGGCCCAGCTCAGTGGCTGACACCAGCCTGTCCCATTGGTTGACACTGCAATTTTCCTGGCTCCCCAGACAGACGTAAAGTGCCATCTCCAGAGATCAGTGTAGCTTCTCCCCGAATGGAGCATGGGTGGGACTTTTGGTTGTTCCATGCCAGGCTGCTTGGGAATTTTTCGACATGAGGGTTTCTTTGTCCGAATGCCGATTCGTCAAAGGGGGAACTTCCCCTGGAAATGTCTCGGTTTTAGCGACCCATTCATTGGGAAGGCTCCTCGTATCTCGGCTGGAATCTCTGGTCCAAGCGGGAGAGGCTGTGCTAGACCCTGTGAGACCCCCTTGGTTAGCACACTTCTGAGGGATGCAGAAGCCCCAGGCTTACATCCTTGATCTGCCTGAGTTAGGACAGGAATTTAAGCCTGGTTATTCCACAGCCCAGGGGCCAGATGTTCAGCAGCCAATGTGCTGAGCTCCCCTGGGGACTGACTCCACTGCTCTGTGCTGTCCCGGCAGGCCACCTTCAAAGGCTGGATGGACATCATGTATGCGGCCGTGGACTCCCGCGAGGTGAGGTGACACAGAGAGAGGAGCGTGTACTGCAGCTCTCTCGTCGACATGCCTGGCTTCGCAGGGCATGCTGGGACAAGGAGCCCTGCCTTACATGGTTCAGCATGGCCCTGGGGCCTGCTTAGGGCTTTGAGGGGCACTCTCTCTGTGCTCTGCCCCCTGGCACTGGCAGGCTGATCCAGGCCCCAGCTGGTTAGGATCCAGCTGGGGGGCTCGGGCAGATGGGGGGCAGAGGAGCCGGGAAGGGAGGGGTGGAGCTCTCACCCTGTCCCATAGCTGAGCAGCGAACTATGGGAACAGGACACAGTCTGATGTTTCACTGATCACACATTCTGCAGGCGCCACCCTTCCCCTTTGTCTTGCCAGCACCCCCAGCCTAGTCCCCAGAAACCAGCTCCCCAAAAAGTGCTCCAACCTGACCCCAAACTGTCAGATCTCCCCTTCTTTTCTGGGACAGAAGCTTTGTCCCCCCCACCCTGTGTCCCCACTTCTTTCCTGTAGCCAAGCCCTCCAGTCCCCCCATCCCGGGAGCTGCTCTTGACCTTCCCTCTTGACATCTGCAGCCGGGGCAGATTGACGTTCTGCGGCATGGAGCTTTTCGGAGCGTCTCAGGGCAGGTGGAGGGTCCGGGGCTCCCCAGAGCGGACCAGGCTCCCTGGGCAGCTCTTACCACAGGTTGGCTCCAGCTTCCAGCCTGGCCGGGGGCGGGGCCTTGGGGGAAGAGGAGGAGCAGTGGGCATTCTTTGTTCATTGTGCCCGGGACCCCAATAAATCTTAGTCCGCCTCTGAGCAGGCTTTGGGCATGGAGGCACCTCAGGTTCCCATGTCGGGGGAGGCTGGGTTCTCAGCATTCCCAGCCCCCTGCAGTGCAGCAGTGACCCCATGCCTGGGGCGTGGGGGGAGTGGGCTGTGCCCTGCACTCATGCATCCCCTTCTCCCCACTCAGATCGAAGAACAGCCACTGTATGAGACCAACCTCTACATGTACATCTACTTCGTCATCTTCATCATCTTTGGCGCCTTCTTCACCCTCAACCTCTTCATCGGTGTCATTATCGACAACTTCAACCAACAAAAGAAAAAGATAAGTATCTCCTGGCCCGCCTGGGCTCCTGGCATTCCCGTGGCCCCGGAGATCTGGACAGGTCCATTGGGATCAGCTAATCCGGCCTCCTGCTAACCCAGAGCACTGCCCTGCAGTCATTCCTTGCGCAGAGCTTCAGGAGGCAGGCCAGGAAGGAGCGCCCTGCGGCGGGCAGCGAATTGCAGCTCCTGGGCGAGGGTGCAGACCCGGGGGCATGGGGTCACAGTGGGAGGTCAGACACAGGAGCAGACCCAGCCTAGGGGCAGAGGAGCTGCTTCGCATGAGCTGAGAGTCCCCTGGGCAGTTCCCTGCCATGCTGGTGCCCACTCTTCCCGATCACTGGGGTTGCTAAATGAGCTCCTCACAGGAACCTGAGAAGTCACATCCCAGGGGTTTTCTCATTTACGGTGTGTAAAGGGGGCCTGGAAAGTACCAGAAAAACCAAAGAAGGTGCAGAGAGGGAGTCTCTTTTCTATTTGATTTTGAGCCCAGAAGCATCAGCATTGCCAGGCCTGGCCCTCGGTGCTCTGCTGGGGTCACTGGGGGGGCAGGGGCCTGGGACTGGGCACTCAGGACTGTTGTGGAGGCACTGAGCCCCTAGGCGGATGGTGCCCTAGCACCCATGGATCCCCTACACTCCAGCTGGTCTCAGAGTGAACCCCAGATTCCAGGGGTGGGACCCCTGGGCAACCCCTGCCCCCCTTGGGGAAACTCAGAGCGGGGAAGGAGGGGCCGGGTGATGGGTGATGACACTGAGCTGCTTCCATTCGGAAAATCCCTAGAAGATTATGGGGAACTCCAGACAGGCTAGGAAGCACCAGGGCAGCTGGGATTCAGGAGCCAGCAGGGTTTGCTGAGCTGGTGGGATCCGCCAAGGAAAGAGACATGAGCCACTGCGAGTAGCTCTGGCTAAAACATGGCTGCAGTTAAAGCAAGCTCCATTCCTGGGTGGAGTAAAGAAAAGCAGGGCAGAAAAGCAGGGCTAGAAGACAGAGGACCGGGAGTCTGAACTTGAGGAGAAGCTGCTCCCAGCAGAGCAAGGCCTGGTCTACACTACAGAGCTGGGTGGGCGTAAGGCAGCTAACGTCAACCTCACTGTGTCAGTGTTTACACTGCAGCGGTGCCCCTGGCGATGTAAGTCACCCACTACCCTGACCTAATAACTCCATCCCCACGAGGGGTGTAGCACTTAAATCAATGTAGTCAGGGCGATGCAGCGCCCGTGCAGACACTGCGTTACTTACATCGCCTGTTGGCTGTCAGCACCAGGGCTGGGGCAGCGAGACTCCAGCTGTCAGCGCCCCACAATGCAGTCAGTAGAAGCGCTCCTGGGGAAGACATGCACCGCTGACAGAAGGAGCATAGTGTGGACATGAACCACTGCTTTAATTACTGCAGTAGCTGTACGTCAACTTAATTTTGTAGTGTACCCAAGCCCCAAGACTTGCCAGGAGCAGCAAATTCCTCCCAGTGTTACTGGAAGCTGGTGCTGATGCTTGTTAAAAACCAAAATGTATCCAAGTCTAATAATGGCGATTCCTTTTATACTTTGGAGGGAAGGACATCTTCATGACGGAGGAGCAGAAGAAATACTACAACGCCATGAAAAAGCTTGGATCAAAGAAGCCCCAGAAGCCAATCCCCAGGCCCCATGTATGGCACGTTAAAAGTGTTTGAGAGCTAGTGGGAGGGGGTGTTTAGAAACAGAAATGGTGCCGACAGGCGTGAGCCGGGGCCAGGTGTCCAGCAGGGGGATCGGGTTTTGTGATGCACCTCAGATCACTGTTACCACTCCACAAAGAGCTCCGGGCTTTTACATCTGGCAACAAGCAGCCAGGACTGGAGTTTCAGAGAGGCAGCACGTTGGGCGAGCGCCCTGGGAACCCAAGCCCTTCAGCCATACAGTACGAGTGGAGTATTTAATGCATCATAGACCACTTTCTTTTTGTTATGGTCTCCTTCTCTGACTGAGGGCTTACCCCCCAGGGGCCAGGACCTGACCCAGGTACACTGAGTACTTGTTTGAGTACTTGCCAAGCACCTGACCCTGAGAAGTGCCAAGGACTGACTTCCTCGCTGGGAGCTGACCGTGCTCAGTGCATTGGGGTGGGGGGCACTCAGCATCTCCCAGAAACAGCCCTGTGGAGAGGAAACCTCCCAGGAAATGCTGAGTCCATTAGGTGGGAGGTTTCCCCATGGCCCCCCATGGTGCTAGAGCTCTCCTGCTGAGACGTGCCCGCAGCATCCTGCCCACCCATCATCCGGTAGCCCTTTTCACAAGCACAGAGTGTTCGCCCCATGCCCTGGTTAGCATCCAGCCCAGGTGATTCCATTCCCCTGCCCGTGGTTCCTAGGCGAGAGGGAGGAAGAAAGGTGTGGGGAGGATGCAGGGCAGTGATAATGGAGGGCAATGGCTAGTGGTGGAGAGGCAGCTCCCCCAGCCCAGGAGACAGGGGAAGGTATGTGGTGACCCCTCTGAGCAGCCAAGGGGATCAGGGAGCACTTGTGGGAGAGCAGGCAGCTTCTCCCCAGAAGGCTCAAAACCCACAAATCAGATAAAACCAGTTTGGCCCGTGCTGTTCTAGAGGCCAAGCCAGGACGTGTGGGCATCTGGCAGGACGCATTGGAGTGCGCACACTGAGCGTGTTAGGTGTCCCCAGCCATTTCAAATGCTGCTAGGACAGAAGGGCTCTGCTGGGACTGTGAGCACAGCCCCTTGGTTTGTTGGAATGGTGAGAGTGGCAGCGGTTTTAAAAATGCCACTTTCTTTGAATTTTGAATCTGTCTGAGTCCATCAGGTCTGTAAGGGGAAGAGGCAGTGTGGCCTGGTGGCTAGAGCAGTCACCAGGGCTCAGGAGACCCAGTTCTCATCCCAATTCTGACCCTGGCCTGCTGGGCATCTTGGACAAGTCACTTCACCGGCTTGTGCCTCAGTTTCCCCACTGGTAAAATAGGGATAATGATACTGATGTGCTTTGTAAAGCACTCTGAGATCTCTTGATGAAAAGGGTGATGTGAAAGATTGTTATTCCTGTGACACTATCTCCCAAATCTCCTTTTCCTGTTACCAGTTTCATAAATCACTTGCTCGTTTGGATTTCTTTAAGTTTTCCTTTCCTTAAAACTTCCAAATGGCTTGCCGCTGTTCTCTTTCTAGCAAACACGATTCTGTCACTGCTCCATCTTTGAACTGTAATTTCTCGTAGTGCATGTGTTTTCCTTTCTGCATGAGCCTCATGTGACGCTCCCAGATATGTGTCAGAGTTACAGCTTGATGTTCATCATGGCCAATGAGTTTTGTGGCAAAATCCATGATGCTCAGGATTTGCTCAGGCTTGGGCATGGGGTGAAATCCTGGCGACATTGAAGCCAAAGGCAAAACTCCCATTGATTTCCCTGGGAGCAGGATTTCACCTCTGGCCTTTTACCTCCCCGGGAATTGCTGCACATTTGGCTCTGCCAAGCATTCAGGTTCAGATTTTCAAAGGTGCCGAGGATGGTTAAGTGCTTCTAAGGGTGGGGTGTAAATCAGGGGGTCTCATCCTTTTTCTTTTTGAGACCCCCCCAACACGCTATAAGAACTCCACGGCCCACCTGTGCTACAGCAGCTGTTTTTTCTGCATATAAAAGCCAGGGCTGGGATTAAGGGGGAGCAAGCAGGGCAACTCCCGGGGCCCCACGCCATAGTAGGCCCTGCAGAGCTAAGCTGCTCAGGCTTCGGCTTCAGCTCCAGGCAGTGGGGCTTCGGCTTTCTGCCCTGGGCCCCAGCAAGTCTAATGCTAGCCCTGCTTAGTGGACCTCCTGAAACCTGCTCACAGCCTCCCAGGGGGCCTCGGGCCCCTGGTTGAGAACCACTGGTCTAAATTCGCTGTTACCACTCAAGAAAGAGATCTTGGAGTCACTGGAGAGTTCTCTGAAAACATCTGCTCAGTGCGCAGCAGCGGTTAAAAAAGCGACCAGAATGTTAGGAACCATTAGGAAAGGGATAGAAACCAAGACAAAAATATCACAATGCCACTCTCTAAATCCAGCCCTTGAATACTGCATGCAGTTCTGGTCGCCCCATTTCTAAAAGGATTTAGTGGAACTGGAAAAGGTTCAGAGAAGGGCAACAAAGGTAATCAAGGATCTGGCCTGGCTACCATACAAGGAGAGATTTAAAAGATTTGGGCTATTCAGCTTAGAAAAGAGACGATTAAGGAGGGATAAGACAGAGGTCTATAAAATCATGACTGGTGTAGCAAAAAGGAAGAGAGAAGTGTTAATTATCTTTTCCCACAATACAAAAACCAGGGGTCACCCGATAAAATTAATAAGCAGCAGGTTTAATACAAACAAGAGGAAGTACTTTTTCACCACATTGTACAACTAATCTGTGAAACTCATTGCCAGGTGATGTTGTGAAGGCCAGAAATATAACTGGGTTCAAACAAGAATTAATCAGTTCATGGAGGATAGGTCCATCAATGGCTATTAGCCAAGGTGGCCAGGGATGCAACCCCATGCCCTGAGTCTCCCTAAACCTCTGACTGTCAGAAGCCAGGAGTGGAAGACATGGGGTGGGTCGCTCCAAAATTGGCCTGTTCTATGCACTCCCCATGAAGCTCTTCAAGTGGTCGCTCTTGGAGACAGGATACTGGGATAGATGGACCGTTGGTCTGACCCAGTGTGGCAGCTCTTATGAAAATCCCCAGCTTTGCACTATTCCTGGCAGCTGTTAACAGTCCCAGAATGGAAAATGGGGGTAATTAATAATTAGACAATTGTGACTGACTTTTTTGAAAAGGTACAACTCAAATGCTGTTTGCAGTGTTGTTGTAGCCATGTCAGTCCCAGGATACTAGAGAGACAAGGTTGGGGAGGGATTGTCTTTTAGTGGACCAACTAGTGTTGGTGAAAGAGCCAAGCTTTCGGAGCCACATGGAGCTCCTCTTCAGGTCTGGGAAAGGTCCTGAGACTGTCACAGCTCTGTGTAGCTTGAAAGCTTGTCTCTTTCACCCCACAACTTTGTCCACTAAAAGACAGTCCCTCCCCGTAACTCAAAAGATGACCTTTCCCGTTTTTGCCATGATGAACAACTGGCGTTAATTAGGGTTCAATAATGATCCATCGTGGGGAGGCCCAGTCATTGAGCCTGGTGCTTGGGAGACATGTCAATATTACATCATAGCATATGAGACATCGGCATGTGCAAGCTAGGCTCCATCTTGCAACATTTACTGACCTCAGTAGCGGGTGAGGGGCCTACAGCATCTCCAGGCAGCACAGCCCAGATCCTCAAAGATATTTAGGTACCTAACTCCCATGGGAGGCTCTGGGCCCACATCCTTGTTGCATGATCACACTGCACAAGGGATAAGACAGATGGGTCTCTGTCCTCTTCTAAACACTGTTTCTCTCTCTCTCTCTCTTTCTGTTTTTGTCTTCATTCTCCGCTGTGCCCTGTGTGACCATTCCATCTCCTGGCTTGCCCTTCTGCCTCCATGTTCACCCACATTCCACGTATTAAAGAACAAGTGTCAGGGGCTGGTGTTTGACTTTGTGACAAAGCAAGCTTTTGACATCATCATCATGGTCCTGATTTGTCTTAACATGGTGACCATGATGGTTGAAACAGATGACCAAAGCCCAACTAAAATCAACATCCTCTACAACATCAACATGATTTTCATCGTCATCTTCACGGGCGAGTGCTTGCTCAAAATGTTTGCCTTGCGCTATTACTACTTCACCATTGGCTGGAACATCTTCGACTTTGTGGTGGTCATCCTCTCCATCGGAGGTAAGCGCCAGCCGCCAGCTGCATTTCCATTGACTCAGGCAAGCCACCAAGTGGGTTCTGTAGCAACCAAGATAGAGAAGAAAAGGAGGACTTGTGGCACCTTAGAGACGAACCAATTTATCTGAGCATAAGCTTTTGTGAGCTACAGCTCACTTCATCAGATGCATCCGATGAAGTGAGCTGTAGCTCACGAAAGCTCATGCTCAAATAAATTGGTTCGTCTCTAAGGTGCCACAAGTCCTCCTTTTCTTTTTGCGAATACAGACTAACACGGCTGTTACTCTGAAAGATAGAGAAGAAATGGCTAGATGGGAAAGATGGGTTTGGTGGCACCCCCCGACCTGGGAGACCCATGGCCCTGCCCTTGAGCCCTAGCTCTGCCACTATCCCTGTGCCTGCTGGAGTGGTGGTAGGAGTGGACACCCTCTACGAGCCCCTTGGAGAAACCCACCACCATTCCTCTTTGGACAGACTGGGCCTCCCCTGAGCGCTGTTCAGGTGGGCAGAAGTCCACCCCATAGGAGGGAGGACACATTTCCACCCTGACCCCTTCCCCAAATAGAGGACTCGGTGTGGGGGCACCCTACAAACATCAGTCATCCCAGAAGAGGTGAGAGGGTGGCAGGGCCCCCAAAGCAGTAGGTTTCAGAGTTAATAGCCCATAGGGATGCATGGGACATTTCACCCCTTTTAGAGCAATTGTCTCAGGCTGTCTGCAGACTCAGACAGCTGTCGCTGCATTGCTCGTGCTCAGCGCATGTTTTCAAGACTTTCTTCACAACCAGGAGAGCTAGAAACATGATTATTTATATATATTAAAGCTGAGATTCACATGACTCCAGACTATAAGCAGGGGTCCATTGTGCTTATACCTTAACCTGGTCCTGCGCCCCAGGTGCTCACCCTAAAAAACTCCTTCCTGTGTGCTCATTAAAACCTTTCCTGAGTGCGCACCCTAAAGGGCTTCCTGCAAATCCTACCCCAGGTGCTTGCCCAAAGCAACTCCTCAGGTTCCACGCATAAAGGGATTCTACATGGACAGACCTCCCCTTCTCCAAGGGGCTCAGGTCTGTCTGCAACCCCAGGCACCTCACAGAGGGCTCCCTTGCTCCCCTCTTCAGGAGGCACTGTATGGCACACCCCTATAGCATGGACTGGGGTGCAGCAAGGACTCGGGAGGGCTCATTGTTTCTGGGAGGGCATGTCTCATTAGCAACGAGTTGGCTATATTTTAATCTTTGCATGTGCACTACGAGGCTGTTTTAGATAATCTCATACATTCAAAATAATAAGGACCACCTGTTCCCATGGACGGTATCCTCAGAACACCTCTGGGGCGCAGGGCAGTTCCCCCCATTACAGACAGGCAGATGAGGCTCAAGATCACACAGGATGTCTATGGCCCAGAATGCCTCAAATCCACTGCTACTGCCCTAACTGCCGCACCGTCCTTGCTCACCAGCCTCTCCCACTTCTCCCTGTGTGGAAGAATAGGGGCTAAAGCATGATTGTCGCCCGTAGCAAAAGAGAAGTACCAGGGGGCAGCAGCAAAGAACAAGGGTTAGACGAAGCAGTAAGCAAAACCTTTTAACCATGAAACACGTCAGGCAATGGGGCAAGCAGCAATGGGACGTGGTAGATTCTTAGATGGCGGCTGGATGGCAAATCACAGGGAAGGTAGGATTGTGCAGCAGCACTGGCTAGGGAACTTTCCTGAGGCCTTTTCCAGCCCATGTGAGTTTATGGTCCTCTGCTAAGCACCCTTGCCTTCACAAGCATTCAGCTCTCCAGCACAGAGGGTGCATCTAGATCCAGAGCAGGTTACCCATTGCTTCCCTACTTCAGCTCATGCAGCAAGCCACGCTTACCTTCTTATCACCCTTTTCAGGTATCGTCCTTTCCGACATCATAGAGAAGTACTTTGTGTCCCCCACCCTCTTCCGGGTGATCAGGTTGGCAAGAATTGGGCGTGTTCTGCGGCTTATCCGAGGAGCAAAAGGAATCCGGACTCTCTTGTTTGCTTTAATGATGTCTCTCCCTGCTTTGTTCAACATCGGCCTCCTGCTGTTCTTGGTGATGTTCATCTACTCCATCTTTGGGATGTCCAACTTTGCCTACGTCAAGAAGGAGTCTGGGATCGACGACATCTTCAATTTTGAGACGTTCGGGAACAGCATCATCTGCTTGTTTCAGATCACGACGTCTGCCGGGTGGGATGGTCTCCTCAACCCTATCCTGAACAGTGGCCCACCAGACTGCGACCCGGACTTGGAGAATCCTGGAAGTTCGGTAAAAGGAGACTGCGGCAACCCATCCATTGGCATCTGCTTTTTCTGCACCTACATCATCATCTCCTTTCTGATTGTTGTGAACATGTACATCGCCATCATCCTGGAAAACTTCAACGTGGCTACAGAGGAGAGCAGCGAACCACTCTGCGAAGATGACTTTGAAATGTTCTATGAAACGTGGGAGAAGTTTGATCCAGATGCCACCCAGTTTATCGCGTACAACGTGCTGTCGGATTTTGTAGACACCTTGCAAGAGCCACTCAAGATTGCCAAACCAAACAAGATTAAATTAATCACCATGGATTTACCAATGGTCGTCGGAGATAAAATCCACTGTCTGGATATTCTGTTTGCACTGACTAAAGAAGTGCTGGGTGACTCTGGGGAAATGGATGGCTTGAAAGCCACAATGGAGGAGAAATTCATGGCTGCCAACCCATCCAAGGTTTCCTATGAACCCATCACTACGACTTTGAAAAGGAAGCACGAGGAAGTCTGTGCCATAAAAATCCAAAGAGCCTTCCGAAGGTATTTACTAAAGCGGTCAATGAAACAGGCTTCTTATCTGTACAAGCATAGTCAAGAGGAGGGCGCCTTTGCAGAGGGAGCGCTGGAAAAAGAAGGACTGATCGCAGACAAAATGCATGAGATTTATGGGAACAGTGATACACACCTGGAAATGGCCCCAGGCCTGGCTCTTGTGCCAGGTGCAAGCCCAGAGACTCGAGCTGCTCCTAGTGAGGCGAAAAAAAGGGATGGGGAGCGAGAGGTGAAAGAGTCGTTAGTATAACGGAAAGCACTTTTCATCTTCCTATCCTACAAAGACTCCATTTGTATCTCTTCTGCAAGAACGCACCCGTATCCCTCCCGCTAGACATTTGAGCTAATGCCATATTACCATATTTCAGACCCATCTTAACTTTTTCAGGAGAACCTCGTATTCATTACAGGTTTTATAATTCACCGCACCTTGCGGCGTTGAGTATTTTTCTTCTGAGGTAAATGTGAAATCTCTCTATTGCTGGTGAAAGAGAAACACTAAGTTTTAAAACGATAGAACCATGGTAGCGCTGTGTTTCAGAAGTTAACGACTGGGTATGGCTCTCCTTTTATTTTCAAAATTATTTCTTAATATTATTTCACACTTGAGGTGTTTGCCCCATTATTGTTCCTGAAGTGCAATGAATGAGAAGAGAGAGATGAGCCAAGTGAAATGATATTAAAAATAATTGCAGAAATGACTAGGTTTTGTGAACAAAAATCTCCAATGTCTTAAAGGTAGCACCTTTCTTTTGAATATTTGAATAGGCGTTATGGATTTTTGTTATATACAGTAAAAGTGCAATTATGTCTTAAAGATTTGTTTGCATAGTTTAAAAAAAATCTGCAGCTATATTCTCAGGGTTAAATGCCAGCTTTTAAAGTTTTTCAGAACACTCATCTAAACCAGAAAGCATTCAATTCTCAACAGTAGGAATACAAACTATTTATTTCCATGCTGCATTTCTGGGTTCCCATTTAGTCTAGGAACTAGATTATGTGGAAGGAAAATAGCCACCAAAATATGGTGTATGGGAACTAGTTCCCAAATATTCCCACTTCTCTCTACAGAAATACCCCTAGTCCAGCTTCACAAATCTTAACTAATGCACATCTCCTGGAGCAGGAAATCTTTGATCCCATCAGGTCACGAGCTGCCATGTGGAGCCAGATCAGGTAATAGAACAGTTTGGTTGCACTGGAATATTTACAATGAATTGCTTGATCGGGTGCCTTTACAGAATTGATATCTACTGCGGAAAACCCTGTGCTTTCTTGGTGATTAATACTTTCCTCCCACCTTATGAATTAACAATCCTCCAGGAGGATAGTACATATCAGGGCAAAACATATGTGCAAAGCCTAAAATAGTAAAGCAAAAAGTCACCTTAGAAATACTGTTTCCCTTTTCTAAATCTTATTGCCAACTCCTCCTCCCATATACGGTGACCTCTGACTGGGGCGGGGAGACTTTTCTATCACGTCTCTTTGGTGTGGACTTGGACTTTCTGCTGTGGAAACAGATGGGGTAGGGTTTCAAAACAGGCCTTCCTAACTGATTAGCTTTGACTCCGAATCCTTTGTCTTGGTCGCTCTGTGGATTTGCTCAGAGCCACACCATCTGGTGTCGAGCTGTGTACTAGATACGCTGGAGCCTGCTCACCTTTGGCTAATGGAGTCGCCCTCTTCCGTTCACTCTGTTCAGTTTCTTTTTCAGATGAAGTGTCAGAGGTGCCAAAGGGACACGGAGCATCACCAGTGGCCATCATGAAGGCCCTGGGTCTAGCCAGCCCTGGGCAGCTGGGCCCTCTCTAGATTCATGACAGAGATTTGTTTTCCAGACTCCTGTGGAAGTGGGGGCCTGATCTTGCAGGCCCAGCTCAGGCCAAGCTCCTAGCGACTCCCCGGCAGGCAGTGAGCATGGGGGCAGCATGGCAGCTGTTTCTGCGCGTGCACACTCAGCACAGGTCTCGGTGCATTCCCCTGCTCCCACAAATCACTCCCCAGCCCGTGCTTAGCTTTAAGCCTGGGAGTTGCTCAGTGGGTTCCAATGGGACCGCTCGCGGGCTCAAGGTTGCCCATGCGTTGGGCTGGAGCTGTATGGCTTGAACTTGCCCTTACTGAAGCCAATGGCAAAAGCTTCGTTGGACCAGGCTCAAGCTGTGACTCCTGCCCTCCCCTCCCCGCTGGCGTGGGCATGCACACCTGGGAGCAAAGGGAACGGTGCTGCTGCAGGGGGCAGAAGGTGGTGGAGAGCCAGCTCCTCCGGAGCACCAGGGTGAGTGGATTGGAGGAGGTCGGTGGAGGCAGGGACGTGGCCTGAGGATTCACTGAACACAAGGGCCCTGCACGCAGGTCCCCTGCACAGGGCTGTGTGGCTGCTGGTGCGTCTATTCCAGTGGCTTCCTGTAGCAGCTGTAGAGTGACTCTGCTGGGGCACCATGGCATGGAACGAGGCAGGACTGTGTCCTGCAGCACCCCCAGGCAGCAGCTGGGAGCCCCTCTGGAGGCAGGCAGGGATTTGGTCCTGCATGATTTCTGTGCTGATAGAACTGTTCTTCCTTCCCATCGGGTCTCGTTCCTGCTGGATGTTGCAACTGCAATTCAGGAACCAAGCAGGGGGAAATCCCGGCCGGTTGGAGCCAATGGGTGTTTTGCCACTGACTTAACCAGGGCTGCGATTCCACCCACAGTATGTAGCAACGAGGCTGGGAGCCAGCTTCCCACAGCAGAGACCTGCTGTTAATGAACAGTTATTGTCCTTCCTGACGGGCCTTGTCCGGGTTATTGTCCCCAATAACTTTCCCAGGCGCTCTTCCAGGAGAAAAAGGGCAATTTCTCCTAACCCAGGGTCCTGCGGGCTCGTCCGCTGAGCATACTTGCCTCGAACCAGCAGCAGACGGCTAGGGTTCAAATCCTCCTGGGGGTTGGGGTGGCAGGGTGAGCATCTTTGCTGCAGACAACAGAGTTCTCCGCTCATCAGTGTGATTTCAGCGTGCTCAGGGCGATGGGGCAGGCGCCTGAGCTATTCAGTGCTTGAGACGATGGTTTCGAGTGTGTTTACCTGTGAACATCCGTGGAGAAAGGGGTGCAGTACTGGCAACCAAACATATTTTACAGCCGCTGTCGCCCGCACATACTTGTTGGGCAGGAGTGGAAGAATGCCAAGGAGTTTCCATCAATGCACTAGTGCAATTTCTCTTTGTACATTTCTTAAAATAAAAACTGGAAATGATCAAGCCTGTTCAGAAATGTGTCCGATTTGTGTTACATCAGCTGCCAACATTCCCATTAACCCCTTGGGGTCCAATCCACCATACATCACTTGCTGGCCTGCGAACCCGAGGCTCCCCCATTCCCCTGAGCTACTTAACTTGGGTACTTGGAGGCCCCCCCATTAGCAGTGTTTTAATTTGTCAGGTCCGTTTAAAAGAGAAAGGGTTTGGGGAGGGCAGGGGGACTAGACAAGTAGCTTCATTCTTCAGGGCTTGGAACTAGCAGGTCACTCAGCCCCTGCATGGCTAACGTTTGAGTACCGGTTGCCGTAGCTTCTCACCACCCCTCAGCCAGCCAGCCTGCCCCACTCCACACAGCCAGGAGGCCTGGCTCAGCACAGCACAGCTGTGGAGAGGCCTACCCTGCAGAGTCCCTGACGCAGGCCAGAGCACAGGGCTCTGCTCCAGGGGGCTGTGGGTGTGTCTACATGGCACACTAAGCCCAGGACTGACTCAGGTTTGAGCCCAAGTCCCCACTTCTGTCCACACACAAATCAGTCTGACTTGGGTCAGCCAGCTCCTGGGTCCCTGCTGGGGTAGGGGAGGTCAGAGCCCAAGTCCTGCTGTGACTCAGGTCCAAGCCCTGTCATCGTGCAGTGGGGATGCACCTGGAGCCGCAGACCCTATGCCAGGGGTGGGCAAACTTTTTGGCCCGAGGGCCACATCGGGGTTGCGAAACGGTATGGAGGGCCAGGTAGGGAAGGCTGTGCCCCCCAAACAGCCTGGCCCCCACCCCCTATCTGCCCCTTCCCACTTCCCGCCCCCTGACTGCCCCCCCTCAGAACCCTCAACCCATCCAACCCCCCCTCCCCGCTCCTTGTTCCCTGACCACCCCCTCCCAGGACTCCCTACCCCTAACTGCCCCCCCCCCGGGATCCCCCTCATCCAATCTCCGCCCCCCACTCCCTGTCCCCTGACTGCCCTGCCCCCTATCCACACCCCTACCCCCTGGCAGGCCCCCAGACCCATCCAACCCCCCCCCCCCCCACGCTCCCTGTACCCTGACTGCCCCGCCCCGAACCTCTGCCCCATCCAACTGCCCCCTGACTGCCCCCCAGGACCTGCCCCTTATCCAACCCCCCTCCGCTACCCGCCCCCTTCCCATGCTGCTCAGAGCGGCTGGACAGGCTTATTGGAAAGCCTGGGAGGTGGGCGGGCACAAGCCGTGCTCCCCGCACGGCAGCGTAGCTACGGGGGGACAGCAGGGGAGCGGCCGGGGGCGAGCCTCCCCAGCCAGGAGCTCAGGGGCTGGGCAGATGTGGCCCGCGGGCCGTAGTTTGCCCACCTCTGCCCTACACAGCGGTGCACAGTGCAATGTGGACACGTCAGCACAGCTCTGAGACCAGCAATTGTAAACCCAGGTTTGCAATGCAGTGTGGACACGCAAGCCCAGGTCCCGCAGCCCTGGGCTCCCATGCAGTGTCGTCATATCCTGTGGTTCTAGGGCAGGGGTGGGCAAAGTACGGCCCGCGGGACCATCCTGCCCGACCCTTGAGCTCCTGGCAGGGGAGGCGAGCCCCTGTGGGCAGTGGGGCTGCGAGCTCCTGCCACTCTGAGTGGCATGGTAAGGGGGTGGCGGCGGTGTGCATGCATGGCAGTGGAGGGGTTGGGTAGGGGGTCCCAGGGGGCAGTCAGGGAACAGGGAGCGGTTGGATGGGGTGGAGGTTCTGGGGCTGTTGGGGATGGGGAACGGGGGGGTTGGATAGGGTGTGGGAGTCCTGGGGGGCCTGTCAGGGGGCTGGATAGGGGCCGGGGGGCAGTCAGGGGACGGGGGGGTTGGATGGGGATTCTGAGGGGGGCAGTCAAGGGGCGGGAAGTGGGAGGGGGCGGAGGCCAGGCTGTTTGGGGGCACAGCCTTCCCTACCTGGCCCTCCATACAGTTTCGCACCCCGATGTGAACCTCGGTCCAAAAAGTTTGACTACCCCTGGTCTAGGGTGAGGCAGCGGCAAAGCACCTGGTAGGAGCAGGGGGAGG